GGAATGGCTGTTGCTCAAAAAACAAACATTCAGCAAATGATCCAAGTCATTGGGGCTATCCTTAGAATGTGAGGGACAATATACTTTAATCAGCCTCTTGTGTAGGTAAATACAACAAGTTCCAGTGCATCTACTTCTTTCATTTTATTTTCACCTAATACCAAATATATGGTATGGTATGGTGGATATCATTTTTGGGCGTATAACAAGCAAGGAAAAATGTAGCTAGAGGATTTCTAACAGAGCATGGTCTGCCAGATATTCTTGGGGCTATTGACTGCACCCATGTTGATATATTTCGCCCGCCATTCCCGGCTGAGTTCAGTACAAGAAAAGGGCGGTCTACAATAAATGTTCATCTGGTAACGACAAACAAGTTATAGAGTTTTTTTTAAAGTTTCTAAAACCTAATAATATAGTGTTTCTTTTAATAAGGATTATATTCGTCTTATATTCTCCTTTACCCTAAAAATAAGCTTAATTCTTGTTTTAGAAATATGTGCAACAATAGTCTTACAGGTGGTCCCTTGAGACTATTATCGTCCCAATTAAAGATCCTACAACCTATCAGATTTTAGTCATCCCTTAACCATTGCGCTATTGAGTCTCAATAGCTCAATGTTATGAATTAATATTACATGTTGTTGATGTTGAGTACCGCATCATTAACATAAATGAACAATATCCAGGGCGAGTCCATGATTAGGTCATAATAATAACTCCAAAATTAAATGAAAGACAGAAATGAAATGTCTGTATGATAGTAGAATCGGTCTATACTATCTTTTTGGTATAATGTTTTAAAATAAAGTTTTCAAACTTAGTAAAGTAACAATTCTAAATTAAATTGAATTTTTGTTGTTAAGTAATACATATGTTAATTCTTTAGCAAAGCTTGTTAAATACTTTGAAGGCTAATATACATAATATTAGGAATATAAATAACACAAGACTCATGATCATAAAATTGTTTATTATTTGTTATGTTTGAAATCATTAAATTTTCATTCTTCATACTTCATCATTCTCAATAAAAATTTAAATCATTGTGAAAATCTGAAACGACAATAAACAGGCATTAATTATTGACACTTATAATATAATACAGAATTAAGAGAAACAAATAGTTTACAGGGGCTGGGGCTTATCATCAGAGCCTTGGCTGATGACCCCCACATTTGAAAGCTGCCAAAATAGTTTTGCAGAAAAATATATCTACCAACTGGCATTGCCAAGTGAGAAACTGTGTGAAAGGAACAAATGGGTACTTAAAAAGCACATTTTGAAGCCTGGACATTCAAATGGTACTCCATTACAGTCCAGAGAAAGCTTCACAACTAATATATTATGCTCATACAATACTTTACAATATCATGCTCGATTAAAGTTGTTTCTTGTAGATATACTCAAATTACTATTGGAATGCTTGTTTACTAAACATTAATTTAATGTGTATATTGCAAAATTACAATGAAACGACCAAAGGACAACTCGTCACCTCTGTAGATCAAGCCATGCTGTTGACAATTACCCGACAAAAAGAGACCATTAATAAATGCATACTTCACCTAACATTTATTTGTATGATTACCTTTTCATCCTTTTGAGTTTATGTATATGACTTGGGTGGGCATTCTGTGTACGAAATAATTGATTTTGCTTACACAAAAAATTCATATGCTCTTTGACCGAAAAGGTCTCTTTGACCCTTTCCTCTATACTCTGAAAAATAAGGTCAAATTTATATAGACTGTAGCAGAACAATAAATAATTTGCGATAAATATAGAGGAACAGGTAATAAAAAGATTCAATTATTTGTAAACAGAAAGATTTGTAGAAAAAATTAGTTACTTTTACATTTCTCTTTTTTTTACTTTACAAAATTTAATGTGATAATACATACTTACTTTTTGGCACTCAATTGCAAGAACAGAAAACGTAAATTTTAATTGTTTATCGAAAAACAAGAACTTTAAACTGTCAAAAATAAAAAATAGTGACTTTGTGAATTAGAGTAGAAATTAATATTGAAGTATTTTGTAAATTTCTTATATAATGACAATAATTACGGGGATATGTTTATCACCCATTTTATCGACTGTGGATATCATATCCACCAGTAGGCCCATGCTCGCAGGGTGAATAAAACTGAGCAAAGGATAAAAAATTGTATCCTCTCCCCGTGCATATATTATCTCCTGCCCATGCTAGCCCGGCAGAAAGACGAAACAAACTGTTTGGTTCGAATTCATGAAATATCAACGACGAATTGGTGAAGGCCTGCCGATCGCCTGGGTATCCTATGGTGGAAAGGGGAGGGAGAAAAGGGCCCCTTTTCCCAAATTTATGTTTCTAAATCGTGTTGTTTTCAAAGAAATCATCATATTTAAAATCCTAAAAAAAATATATAGTACAGATAAACGTTTGATCTAGTGACTTTTTTGGATAAAAACACAATATTAAACATTTAACTCGATTAAAAAAAATCAGAAGTAACATCGATTTTGAAAGCATTTTCAGTTTTATGAGAATTAGGGGAACGCTATATTTATGAAAATTTTACATTTCATTTACTAATCAGGTTTGACAGGGATATTATTGGATAGATTTATAATTTGGCACTTATTTTTTTCTATATGAAATAAAATACGTAAAAAGCGACTCGCGCGCACCACGCCAGTGCCGCCAGTGTCCAGCCGGACGTCATCGAGGGAGGACTTGTGCTATTTTTGCTCGCGACTACGTTGTCGTCACCGCTCGCGTAGTAGTACCTACCTACTAGCATAAAAACTTGTTGTATTATATGTAATATAACAGAAATTAGTTTAAAAAGACAATACTCGTATCTAAGTATACTGACCTATGTTTTTAAACAGTGTTTGTAAATAAATATTTTTTGTAAGTTGTGATTTAATTAAAATGGTGAATAAAAAATACAAAATTAAGAAAAAAAGCCTACCTAAAGTGAAGAAGATCCGAAAGTGTATTGCGTAAGTACTTAATAAGTTCCTATAACCTAGCCCTAGCGTAACATCAACAGGTTATTTACAATAAAAATACATATTGGAATAATTAGATATCTACTTTAACAGGGACATAGACTAGCTAAATCAGTATGACAATTTTTATTTTCGTTTTCTAATGTTCCACTATTTAGTGGGTGGATTCGTCACAATATAATTTACTGTAATCTAGCTAAGCTACACGGACTAGCGAAGTCAGTATGACAAGAATTTTAAATCCTATAGTAACATTCACCTATATTTTTGCATACCTACTAACTCTACTTCACACTAACGTAATTCATTTTTTTTGCTTTTTGAAATTTTGTAAATTTATTCATTACATTCCAGTGCTCTGAGATCTCGTACCCATAAAGGTACTTTGATGTCCAAAAAAAGTACCGATGGGCACTCTAAGGAGAGGCAGTATGCGTAAGTACATTATATACATATTACACAGTATACTAGGGAGGAACAGTTTTACCTATTATTATTATTTGTATTCTTCAATTGTCAGATTTCTCATGCCTATCACCAGGGTCGATCTCCAAGGCCCTTGGCAATCTAAATGGGATGCTAGGGTTTCTTGAAGAGATAGGTTGGCTCGAGTAGTGAGCCCCACCGATCACACAAAATAGGCGCTTTTGACGTAGAGTTGTGGAAACCAGCCCGTTTTACCATTACCATGACCACCACGCGTATGTCTGGGATTCACGATTTCAGGAAGTAGGCATTTATGGTAAAACTGTATTCATTTGAACTCCATCTTCGATTTCCAAAATACGTCAACTTTTCAATTATTTCGATGTGGACTGGCTCTTTTTCTCCGGCCCAATACTAAGTAGACATTGCCGTCGTCTTGCCACATGCAATTGTCCCTGGATTGGTATAACCAATTACTAATTTTATTGCGATGCATATATGTCTTTTCATACTTGCCCTTTGCAAATAGGGCCGAAATTGATGGCAGTAATAAGATTTTTTCGAATTTTCGTATTACGTTCAATCGCGTCCTTGTCAGCAGTAAGAGTTTCTAAATTCTTTAGAAATTCTTCTTTAGCTACTTCTAGTTCAGACTCGGACATATCCGGATCTAAACTGGCGGGGCCATAGTCATTTTGTTTTTGTTTCGCGTCTGTCAATTTCCTGATTTTCTTTTCTGAGCTTCTTCCCTTTTCTTTTCCACAACATCAGCAAATCCCATTTCGGGTCGATCTTTATTTGTTAATGTGTTTTGCACATAGGATATCGCTGACTTTTCATTAAATTTTACAACTGCAGCGTTACACCTCCCTTGGTACCCTCGTTTCAAGGCAAAATTTATTCGCTTTCCTCCTATAAACTTAGCAATGAGACTGTTGAAACATTCGACAAGATTGGTATTCACGTTTTCTATTAAACTGCGTGATTTTACTGCCACATTTGAAATATTCAAATACATCCGGAACAGAAATATTGAATTTTGAATGGTTTTCAGTCCGTTGCTAGAAAATTTTTCTGTTACAGTTATAATCCTGGCACATTATGAGATCACCGTATGCATGCGCCACAGAATTATTTATATCACTGTATAGTTGTAGCATCGTCCTTGGGATTTTTATTATGGTGCATAACTGATCTTACTATTGCTTTCCAATTGGACATAATTTTCACAAAGTTCTTCAGTGGGACAAAGGATATTTTGTTTCTGTAACCAGACTACGTAATTTTTTGCAAAGATTTCTCAAAATATGATTTCTTTCACTAAATTTTTTCTGCTGTAATATTTTGGTCTTTATATAGATTTTCTTTTAGCACTTTTTCGTATATAGAGGCGTCTCTGTCTACAATCTTTCTTTTATAAATTATGCTATACCTACATGTAAATGGATAGGTTGAACCTTTTGGCAATTATTTGGCCCTCCATAGAACATGATGAATCTCTGTTGCTACCATGCCTGTGGTAGCTCCTATATTTACATAAACATTTGAGTCAGTATTTTCCGAATGTATTTGGCATGTTTGTTTACAAATATAAATCCCTTTCATTAATGACTTTCCATTGTTGCAGGAAAACTAGAAATGACGAAGATGATCCCCTTGTCGTTGAAGCTAAAAATCAAGAAGACAAGTTTCAAAAGACAACTAGAAAAGACGAAGATGATTCCCTCGTCGTTGAAGATAAAAATCAAGAAGACAAGTTTCAAAAGACAACTGGAACAGACGAAGATGATGATTCCCTTATTGTTGAATTTGAAATTCAAGAATACAAGTTCCCACCAGTGGCAGGAAGACGCATTTGTTATATTAATTATATATTTAGTCAATTACAAGAAAAAGCACGTCACAACAACTAGTTTGACTGCAAAGCTGGAAATTTTCAGCTAATCGGTGAAAAAAGGGTTGGCTTACTTTCAGTATATAAATTTGAATGCAATATTTGTAAACAAATTTGCCTTATAAAATCGGAAAATACTGACTCAAATGTTAATGTGAATATCGCAGCTACCACTGGCATGGTCGCAACAGGGATCGGCTTCTCACAATTCGAAGAACTTTTTTTCTGCAATGAATATTCCTGTATTTTCTACAAAATATTACAATCAACTCCAGGATCAAGTGTACGAATGTTGTGAAAAAACAGCAGCCGAATCGATGCAAGATGCTGCAGAAGAAGAAAAAAAATTGGCTATCGCAGAAGGTCGCACCAAAAATGGCATACCGGTAAATGACGTTTACGTCGATGCTTCTTGGTGTGCTAGATCGTACGGATCAAATTATAAAGCTGCTTCTGGAACTGCGGCAATTATCGGTAGAAGAACGGGTAAAATAATTTTTCTGGCTGTAAAAAATAAATACTGCCTCGTGTGCGCCCGTGCAGGAAACAAAAATGTCGCTCCTAAGGAGCACAATTGTTTCAAAAACTTCGATGGTTCATCGTGTTCTATGGAGGGTCAAATAATTGCCGAGGGGTTCAAACTATCCATTTCCATGTATGGCATAATTTATAAAAGAATGATTGCAGACGGAGACGCCTCGACATACGCAAAAGTTTTGAAAGAAAATCCATATAAAGACCAAAATATTACGGTGGAAAAAATTGAGTGTAGAAATCATATTTTGAGAAATCTATGCAAAAAATTACGTAGTCTGGTTTCAGAAACAAAATACCCTTTGGCTCACCGAAAAACTTTGACAGTTGTGAAAATTATGTCCATGAGGAAAGCAATAGTAAGGTCAGTTATACACCATAACAAAAATCGAAAGGACAATGCTATAACTATTCTTCACAGTGACATAATCAATTCTGTGGTGCATGCATACGGCAATCACAGAATGTGCCAGGATTATAACTGTGACAAAGAAAAAGTTTATAGCGACGAGCTGAAAACCATTCAAAATTCAACATTTCTGTTCCGGAGGAATTCGATTATTTCTAATGTGGCAGCAAAATCACGAAGTTTAATAGAAAACGTGAATACCAATCTTGTCGAATGTTTCAACAATGTCATTGCGAAGTTTATAGGAGGAAAGCGAATAAATTTTGCCTTGAAACGAGGGTACCAAGGGAGGTGTAATGCTGCAGTCGTAAAATTTAATGAAAAGTCAGCCATATCGCATGTGCAAAACACATTAACAAAAAAAAATCGACCCGAAATGGGATTAACTGTAGTTGTGGAAAAGAAAAGGGAAGAAGCTCAGAAAAGAAAAAACAACTCAGAACGTCCAGTTAGAAAGAAAATCAGGAAATTGACAGACGCGAAACAAAAACAAAATGACTATGGCCCCGCCAGTTTAGATCCGGATATGTCCCAGTCTGAACTAGAAGTAGCTAAAGAACAATTTCTAAAAAATTTAGAAACTCTTACTGCTGACAAGGATGCAATTGAGCGTAATACAATATTACAAAGAGACAGTAGCGAATGGTTAGAAATTCGAAAAAAATCTTATTACTGCCTCTAATTTCGGCCCTATTTGCAAAAGCCAAGTATCAAAAGACACCGCACCGCTGGTAAAAAATATATTATATAAAAAAATTTAGGCCATGTTGCATCAATTGCTTATGGTATTGAAAATGAGCAGCAAGCATTGCACAAGATACAACAACAAGAAAACCTATCTATTGAGCCCTGTGGACTGTTTATAGATAATTATTTTCCATTCATTAGTGCTACACCAGATGGGCTCATTGGAAATGACATTCTAGTAGTAGTCAAATGTCCTTTTTCAGCATCAAAAATTGGTATGAAAAAAGCAATTGAAGAAAATAAAATACAAATGTTAAAATTTAATAAAAAAACGCGCACTGCAACACTTAATAAAAATAGTAATTGGTTCTACCAAATCCAGGGACAATTGCATGTGGCAAGACGAAAGCAATGTCTACTTGGTATTTGGGCCGGAGAAAAAGAGCCAGTCCACATCGAAATAATTGAAAAAGATGACGTATTTTGGAAATCGAAGATGGAGTCCAAATTAATACAGTTTTACCATAAATGCCTACTTCCTGAAATCGTGAATCCCAGACATACGCGTGGTATGGGCATAAGAAATCTGACACTTGAAAAAAACAAATCATCCGAAAATAAGGAAAATGAGGAACCTCTAACACAAAACAGTCCTGATTCGTTATCAGATGCTAGTCCCCAACACGGAGGGAGCGCCATGAGGACTGTGGCTTTGACCCTCTAAGAGGAGACTCACGCCCAGCATTAAGGAATATATCGGTCGATGAAAATGAACTTTTCTTTTTTTAATTTTTAGTTGGCTTTTTCAATTTTTATTTTCCTCTATTATTAAAATTTCTCCCAAATTTTATTCTAATTTTTTTGTAAATGATTATAAAGAAGCCTTTTCAAGCTTTTTTAGGATTTCGTAGCCGAATGGAAAAACCGGAATCCTTATAGATTCGTCATGTATGTCTGTCCGTCCGTCCGTCCGTGTGTCACAGCCTTTTATTCCGAAACTATTCGGACTACATATTTGAAACTTAGTAGGTAGATGTATTCTGTGAATTTCGTTTCTATACAAAAAATAAAATACAAAAAAAAATTATAAGTACAAAAAACAACAAAAAAATTTACAAATAAATAAACTAAATAAAAATTGATCAAACGGAAACAAAAAGTCTGAATGGGGATTCGAACCCGAACCTTTCTTCAGCGTAGACTTCGTAGGCCGACACTATAACCGCTCGGCTGCGTAACAATAGCGGCGAAATTACGAAACATACTGCGCGGGTAAATCTTTATGCGTGAAAATAGGGCGAAAACGGGCGAAAACGATTTTTCCCAGACATGAGACCTAGCTAGATCGATTTTTCGTCCCCGTAAACCCCTAAATTGAAACAATAATGAAATCGTTAGAGCCGTTTTCGAGAACTCATTTAAAATATATATATATATATATATATATATATATATATATATATATATATATATATATATATATACAAATATTGCTCGTTTAATAGTATAGGATAAGTAGTTAATTTATTTATCAACAACATTCCTAGGATAGCTAACAAAATCGAACTACTGATTTATTTATACTGTGGCGTGCTCGCCCGCCTCCATAGGTCACCGAAGTTCATGTCGCGCCGGCTCCTGTGCAACGCGGGCGCGAGCCGTCTCAATGCGTAAAATGCCTAAACTTTCGGGAAAAGGGGCCCTTAAAAGAAGAATTACAATTGTTGCCTAGTTAAATTCTCTAGTCAAGTTCTTAACAATTTGACTTAAAAATGATAATGAATACGCTTGAAAGTATTTTTACGGTTGTTCTTTTTGTTTATGAAAATTATTATTAGTTGCATGCCGTGTAGGACGTACGGCGGTGGGAATATATATTCGTCAAGAATGTGTCAAACATAAAATTATCAGTCTAGTGACTAAATGCAATGTCAAAGCTATGAAACAGCTGGTACTGTAATCGAAGGGTGGAAATTACATCAAATTCTCTCTCATTCGAAATTCGGAGCGACGTAATCGATTTGTAAAATGTTACTAACTACGGATTAAAAAGAAGATACGCACTTAATATACAAATTGAATAAATAAAAGAAATTCAAAAATAGATTATATTATTATGATAAATTTAAACATTATTTTATAATACCATTATAATATTACTATTTTCACAACTGTTGTCTATAAATAAACATTTGGAAAATAATAAGTATTTTAAAGTAATGAATTGAAGATCTCTTAATTTTTAAACTTGGTAGAGCCGTGCTGCAGCTCTATTATGGTTGCCACACAAAAAGGACGACTCGACCTAACAAGGGCCCCACTCTCACAGAATACCAGCGTCGGATAACAGCTCAATTTATTAATAATTAAAGTGTATGAATTGAAATGTTTGGTAAAAAATTGGAAGAATAAATAAAAGTGAATTCCGATTGAATGAGAATCCAAATGAGATGAACATGCGTTTCCGAGTATCCAAAATAGGGTAGATTTTTTTAGGGTGGATAAATCGAATAAAGTGTTTGTGCGTATGTGTGTGTGAGGGGCGGGGATTATAATTTTTCATGCTTTCGTTTTAAAATGTATAATTTCGTTTTAAAACGTATAAATAAACGTATATGTTTGTTAAATCGAATTTGTAAAATATATCTTTAAAGATATATTTTAAAAATTGGATTTAACAAGCATGAAAAAAGGCTGTCTGCCAATAAGTAGAGTATAGAACATTCCCATATGTCATGCTAAACTTGTTTATTTTATAATGAATTGTATTAAAGTACTTTTATGACCTCTGCTTTTGGATAGAAAACCCAAGGTAAGGTTTCATAATTTGTACAATCCAGAACTTTCTTAACATTGGTATTAATTTTGTTATACGGCATTTTAAGTTGTTTATATGCACCGACGAAGTAAGACTAAAAATCTCCCTATACGTTGTTAGTGGTGCAAGTGAGTGTAAAACAGTTACATTTATTTTGATTTTCTAATGTATGAGATTTGGTATAACCGTAAAATTCACTTGTGGTTCCTGACATTTTTTTGTTAATAGCTTAATACTAAACCATTGATGTAGTAACTACAACCTAATCCCTGATATTAAGCGTTTTTACATTTATAATTTACAAAATAGTAATGCACGCTGTATCATCGACATAGCTATTGCGATATTATAATTAGGTACGTATTTTGTTCACAAACTATTGACGTACTCGAGAAAGAGAGTTAACTCCTTTATTTCACCGAACGAAAGCGTTGCAAACAAACTCAGAAGTCAGCAATTTTAATATATTGCTCACAATTTGAAACGAGTACGAGTGAAATGTAAAGAGATCCTTTTTTATTACACAAAACAAAATGAATTTGACTTACTCAAATTTTATAGAAGATCATATTCCAAAAAAGTTTTATAATATTCAACATTCCGGTTCCCAACCGACACTACTGTTTTTATAAGTTGTGAAAATTAATCGTAATAACCATACTATGATACCTAAGTCTCATCAGTATTAAGTCATATAAATGTAATAAACCAAAGGAATTGTTAGTTGTTAAAATAGTATAAGATAATAAATTTAATTTAATAATATCTCTCCATTAACTATTACAGCCCATAAAATTCCACTGATGAACATAGGCCTCCCCCACAGATTGCCTCATAGAAGGGATTTTGGCATAGTTGCCACGCTTGGCTAACAGGGGGCGCAGTTTCTTTATTTTTCTCATTATTAGGAAGTTCCTCTGTCGCATCTTACGACACCTACGGAACGATATGGGGTATTGGTGGTAAAGATATCTCTCAACGAAATTATTATTTTCTTCGATGAAAAATTTACACATCATACATATAGGTCGGTACAACATTATATTTTATATGCAATGTGATGACCTTAATAAGACATCAGTTCTTGGCACTGGAACTGGATGGTTCTGACTCCAATCGCCGATCGTTCTGCCTAAGCACCATTTTGATTGTGGTAAACTCTCTTACATCGTACATAATATCATCTACTTTGAAATTCTCTTTAAGATCTTTCTTTTCGTCTTGAATTTTAACTAACTATTCAATAGATTAAGAACGCTAAAATGTTTGCTATGTAACTACAGGATTTTAACCTCAGTGAGATTTGTATCAGGAACAACAGATAATAATTTTCCTATGAGAAGAGCGGTGTGATTGTAGAAGAAATTCCAGGTTCATCTAATGAAGAATTACAAGCACCAGCACCACAAACATATGTGGTCGTGAATTCAAGCCAGCTTCAACTACTTACTCCGCGGAAATGAGTGATTAATCCATTGAGCTATTATGTACTACGTACTAGAGGCAACACTGCATTCAGCTACTCTGTTTCACTCAACTGCGGTGCATACACCGCACTTTTATCAGTCACTCGCTAGGCGCTTGTAGAGTTGTCACGTGTTGTGTTGATTAAAAAAATCTCTTGATAAAAAATATGTCGTTGTGTGTACTTAGATATTGCACAAATAATTCAAGAAATGTCAGTAAAAACCAAGGAATTACTTTTCATCCGTTAATAAGATACTTAATCATTAAAAAAGTATTATAGATTAATAATAAAACAAATTATTCCTGAGACGCCATCTCGTGTCATGGAATATAGATTATGAAATTAATTTGTTCAAATGCGACATTTCTGTGGGTACTTAAGTATAGGACAAATATATAATTATACACTTTTTTGTAGAAACATGTATAAATTATCATGATTAGGCTAAAATTTTTATATTTAAATCTGCTCATTATTCTTTTATTTTATTTTTAGGTTTCCACATTAAAGTCAACGTGAAATAAATTCGTCCGTTTTTAACTATCGCGTGCTTAGCATTAATGAATGACTCTTAAATAAATACATTTGTAATTTAAATTTTATATTAATAAGTTTTGTTAAACATACATTTAGTATATTCTTTTTTATATTTGACATAGATACCTTTTAAAATATTCAGATAAAAATATCATTAAAATGTAATTTGATA